CCTGCGGCTGCTGCTGGCAGTGCGGGCGCGGCGAGGGCGAGGCGTGCGGCGGCGGCGGGGCTGCGGGGGGACGCTGCGGGCCCGGCCTCGAGTGCGTCAAGAGCCGCCAGCGCCGCAAGGCCAAGGGCGGCCCCGCGCTCCCCGCCGCCGGCCCGCCCGGAGTGTGCCTCTGCAAGAGCCGCTACCCGGTGTGCGGCAGCGACGGGCTCACCTACGGCAGCGGCTGCCAGCTCCGCGCCGCCAGCCTGCGCGCCCAGAGCCGCGGCGAGCCCGCCATCAGCCAGCGCAGCAAGGGAGCCTGCGAGCAAGGTGCGGGGCACGGAGCGGGGCGGGMGGGTGCGGGACCGGGCATGGCCGCGCTGCTGCCCGGCTTGGCGGGGAAAACACCGCTCTCCTGCCGTCTTATCKCATCGGGATGCTTCTTGGTAAAATGGACACGATTTCGGACCCACCTTAAATGGACTGGAGAGTCCCAGTCGGATGGCGCTGCCTAAACTTGGAGTAACACTTCGTACCAGCCCCAGAAATGCCGAGGAACTTGGGCACTTCCAGCGGTGCTGGAACTACACGCGCCCACGTTTCATACTTTGCCTCAAGTTTGCAGTTTGGGCTGCTGTGAGATGGGCCGAAAGGGTTGAGCTCTCCAGGGCAGTGTTCTGCCCAGGAAGGTTGCAAGCAGAGAGGAAAGGAAGTGATAAAATGGATGTGAAAGCCATTGAAATTCAGAGCCAACTTGCTTTGGTTCAAATGAAAACAAGCAGTGACTTTCCTGTGAGCTGCATGTAGCTGTCTGCACTTGCAGCGTTTCCGACCAGGAGCCTGATTCATCCTAAGGTTTTTCTTAGGGAAGGCACTCAAGGAAGAAATTGTTCTGCTGCAGAGCCTCTACCAGAAGTTCTGGCCTCTGAGAGTGGTTTTTGTTGGGAGGGAGGGAGGGGTAGGACAGRGCACGCAAGCCATATACTAAACATCTCAAGGACAGAACTGCAGCGCCAGTGCTGTTTTGATGGAGGAGTGTTCTCATAAACACAGTATGTGCAGGTCACAACCYCCACCTCCTCCTTCTCTTGCTTCTCATAACTGAGGCCAAGTATGTTCGCAAAAAATTGTTTCTGAAACTCCCAAGGCAGGCATGAAAGACTGGGTAAGGAYTGGGTTATGCACTTTGATGTTGCCCATTAAATGCCCTTTAATGGGGCTTTTCACAAACCTTGCCCAAAGCATCAGGCTTACATATTAGCCAGAAACAGTGTGGTACAGTATTAACTCTTTTAGGGAAGGAATTTCAGCCTTCAGGGTAATGTGGAATGAAATGAGACTGGCCTCAGTCCATGCCTCTCTCTAGTATTTGGAAGGAGCCTTTCCTGCCCTGTGGATTTAGGAGTCCTAAAATGCATGCTACTTCTTGGCTCTGCCAGCCCAGACATGATGGGTTTGAAAAATGTCATGCTTCTGGTGTGTACTTGAGAAGAAGACTGTGTTCTCATTTGTCTTGCCCAAAGTAATTTGAGAGTTTGCAAAGTGSGGGTATTGATACTTGTAAGATACTGTCCCAATCCTTGGCTGCACTTCCTAGTGTCTGTCCCAGACTGGATGCTGTTTTGACCTGGTGGGGCTTTGATCCAGGCTATAGAGACAGAGTTTGAGGAGGTCAGTGCAAACATGAGCCACTGGGCATAGGATGTGGCAGAGGACTGACCTGCCAGCCTCCAACAGGTCCCACAAGTCTCTCTCCATCCTCTGATTATCACAGCAGCAGCTTCTCTGAAGAAGGTTTGCAGTGTGGGACAGTCATTGCATGGACAAACTGCATCCTTTCCTTGGTGAAGGTCTCTTAGCTGTGAGCTCTGCAGCAAGAYACCTTGGCARGCTGTTACCTGYTTGAGAACTTCACTGGAGCATGAGRTGCAGAGCCATTGGCAAAATGTCCCATGCTTTGTCACTCTGGGAAGACACTCTCTTGGCTCCTGCTGCTGGGAGAGCTCTGACCCAGCATCTCAGGGAAGAGAGCAAGATGCTTGTGGGCTGCTCAAGCGGTGGTATCTCAACTGACTCTTCTGAGATTTCCCTCGGGTGCATGAACCTTCCCTGTGCCATGGACCTTCTGGTGATATGCACTGCTCTGTGTCTTGCAGCAGAGGCAGGGACTCATCTCACAAACGTGCTAGACATCTGGAAGTACTTCTGTATCCCTCAGGGCCTCCTGGCACTTAGGAGTATTGGGTGGGAAGGGTGGGGTGTTGTAATTGCCGCATGGATATTGAAACAATGACAGGAGAGAATATCCATCCTATCAGCCTCACAGGGCAGAGCCTTTTTCAGTACCCTTCCAGACAGGAGACAGCACTTTTCTAAGTTTCTAGAAGAACCTGAATACTGTGGTAGTCAAATAGTAGACGTTTTGGCTTTTGCCATTTCCTACCGTAGACAGATGTGATCTCYTTAAGGCACTATCTGGGGTAGGATCCAGCCCAGGGAGACCACAAACAGGCAGGATCAGACAATTGTGTGACAGCGTTTGCACAGAAAGAAGTCCTTGGGTGACAGGGCACTCAGGCTTCCTGCTTGTGGCAGATGGGCTCTGAGGTGTCTGCATGCCCTCGCTGGACTGTAAGAATCACTTCCTTTCAGTCCAAGAGTGGGCAGCCTTTCAAGAAACTATCTGAGAAGTGATCCAGAAACATACATTTCCAGCGGTGGGTCCTAACTCTGTTTGATTGCTGTTGGAACTTTAATTTTTTTTTTTTTTTGTTCTTGTTGTTGAAGTGGAGCTGRAAAGGGAAGCCTTGTTTGGCACATCCTGTTGGATCTTTCTCTGATATTAAAYAGCAAAAGGAATGAGCACCTTCTCAGCACTGCAGAATTCACCTTGACCTTGTCCTTGATCGTTTCCCAGATCTCTCAGATGTGATGTCCGTGTTTTGTACAAAAATCATGAAGCCATGCAGAAAAAGGTATTTCTGCTGCAGCCAGAACTTCCTGCTGGAGGGCAAAGGAAGACACAGCTGAGTAGAGTTTGAAAGGACGGAAATAACCCTTGCTCTGCCTGCACTTGGCAGATGGAGGGATCCAGCTGGTCCTTTGTGGAATGGGTTTTATGTGGGCAGCACTGCTGGGGATATCTGGAAAAAGGCACCCTGCTYGACTGCCAATTCCTTGAAGTTGCCTGGCTGCTTTTGGTGCTGTGCCAGCAGGAAAAGCTGCCTGTTTTTTTTCCTCTGGGGGAGCAAGCAGTGATGCCGTTGTGCATCTTACTAGCTCCTGCTTTGCCCTCACATTTGCACTCACAGCTGGCCCTGGCTTTGCCCAGCTCTGTCTCAGGGTGCCACTACCCACATCCCATCTCTCCCTGTGTGTCCCAGCAGCCTCTTGGTAGCTAATCCCAGTGCTGCGGATGCAGGAGGCGGATGCTGTGAAGTTTTCCTTCTGCTTTCCAACATTGCCTTTGAATGGATTGTCYGTTTGCTCTGTGCTGATGAAAATGCAGCTCAGGTCTGCTGCCAGGTCTCGCAGGCAGGGCAGGTCCAGACACAATGCAGAAGCCTGCTGGTGGGGCAGGTCCAGGCAGGCTGGGGTGCTTCCTCTGGTGGCCCCCTTGGCAGGAGGGAAGGCTGCTCTGACAGCTGGGGAGCTGCCCTCTGTCACTGCTGTCACACAGCTGTGCACAGATGTTCAGAAGAGCCTCTCATGGAGTTGGTGGCTTCAGGAATGTAGGCTGAAATTCAATTTGCAGTGCACACACTGAGGCTGTTTGCAGCCAGCTAGGACCTGTGGCAGGAGGACTGTGGTACCCACTGCTGTGCAAAGCCAGCTGGCATAAAGAATTAGGGTTGCATGGYTYAGCTCAAGCCAGGCAGAAAAACAGCCTCAAAGCACCARCCACATGAAAAAAAAAAAAAAAAAAAAAAAAAAAAAAAAAAAAAAAAAAAAAAAAAAAAAAAAAAAAAAAAAAAAAAAAAAAAAAAAAAAAGCAATCAGGATTTCTGATGATGATCTCTGAGCTGAAAAATACCAGGCACCGACTTGCTGCCTAACCAATGCAGGAAGGGACTAATACCCCTGAGTCTTTCTTATCATTAGCTGCTAGTGAATAACTGCTTTGAGAGAAGTGTTGTGAYTGGTGGAAACATTGCCAAAGTTGCCTTATTATATGGTTTGAAGTCCCTAATGCTTGTTCCAACAGGGYTGGAGTCTCCAGGTTGTTCTGCTGTTGTCAGTGAAGGCTTTGTCTTTGTGTTTTGCTCACTTCTCTCTTGGTGGAAGCCAAACTCCTRTTCTTGCCCAAATGTAGTGCACCACAAAGCAGCTCTCAGCAGACTTCAGAGGACAGGGTTTCACTCTCCAGGGAACTGGGGCTGCTTTGTACCTACCTACAAAGACCTCCTGGGGGTACAAACTTGGGGCCTCTCTGTGTGAAGGGTAAATTTGCTGGCTTGCCAAGCAGTCTGCTTTATTTCTGTTGGTCTGAATGTSGTTTAAAACTCTGTGGCTCCATGAAGGTCTTTTCCCAGCACTGGGAACATGCAGGGCTTTTTCCTTTACCTTGCAGGATCCCTCCCACAGGCTACAGTTGAACAGCAGAACGGGGTTAAAGTCGACTGTAACCAGCATTAAACTTGTCTAAATCTCACCACCAAGGAGATCCCAGTCACTGAAGCTGTGCTGTCCCCCCAGAGAGGTATCATTTTGTCTTCCCAGAAGCCCAGACAGCCAATCCTCCTGGAAGGGTTTTTTGCTAAGGTGTCACACCAGATCTGGGGCTCAGGAGAAGGTGGATGTCAGGTTTCTTGGCTGTCCACAGGGTTTAATAAACCAGGCTGATGGATGTAGGATTGTGGCTGCCAGGCTCTTGTGGAAACTGGCAGCACGGGGGCAAATATATTGCCCCCTGAAATTCCTGCCAATTTACCCCATCCGTGGTTTTGCTTTGCTGATGCTCCACTGTTCCATAAAAGTTCATCTGTGCTGCAAACAAAGAAGTGCCAAGTTCCCACCGGTCAACTTCAAAACAAGAAACACGAATCACATCTGTTGGCTCATTCCATCCAAATTCAGCTGTTGGGGCTTTGCCAGAAATGTCTTAGTTTTGAGGGTGGTTCGCTTTGGTTTTTTAGTCCATTACCACAGTACAGCAAAAACAGGAGTTAGGGAAAAAAAAAAAAAACCAACCAAAAAACTATGGGAAATGGCAGACTGCTGTTATCACTGAGATTAGCTCATCTTCTGATGCAGCTGCCTTAAGTACAAAGGCTCCCAACTCTAGACACCACAAAACATAGTTCATAGCCAGGCACATTTTGCAAGAAATT